GACACAATGTTCAAGCACATCTAATTACGGTAAGTAAAGGGCATATCACAATCACTGGTAAATATTTCATCTGACGGCTACGTTAAGCTTGGTTAATCTATTTCTTATCGACAAAATCTAAATTAACTTTGAAGAACACGTATGGATAGTACTCATTTACTCCCAGTGACATCAACGCTGGCGAATCTTCCAACGTCTGAAAATTGTTGTTGGTTACAAATAACAAATACAAAAGGACTGCAAGAAAAGGGTAAGGCATTATTTCCCTCTCTTGCCCTGCTCATTAAAGTTCATGCCAGATTTTGATCCAATTGTTTCCCAGGAGCAGAGCTGGAGGAGCAGAGCTGGCGGAGGATTCGGTCACCTAGCGTAAACTGACCTTGTTTGTAGATGATCGGTTGTTCTGAGTTCTTGATCACAAACACCTAACACTACAGGCGCCCAAAACATCAAAAAAGCCCAACTCAGCTGAAAATATGCCCCGAGCGACATCCATAAGAGTGATGAACTATAGACGCGCTATTCATTACACCACCCAAGCTCCCTCTTGCCCTGTCAGCTCAATGCCACTTGGCCATAGTCGACTCATCACGTTAAACGTGTGGGTGTACGCAAATGCCTGACCTACAGACAAAATCACTTAAGGTTCAGATTCTACTAGCCGTCAGTATTACGGAGAAAGAATGGAAAGAAAGTGGCTGTATAACCGACACCATTAGGCTCTGATTAGTGAACCTACATCGATTGGTCCGGCAGCTGATCCGTCTAGATGAATGTACAACTTGTGAAGCTCGGCACGAAGTTTCTTCTGGGATCCTTTGGTTGGCTCAACGAGGGCAGCTTGGAAATTGACCGGTAAACCGTACCTGCAAGTCAGTCCATTAAATTTGGATTCACACTTCAACAGTACCGTAGCATCATGTGCTCAAAAATACAAAATTCCCTTGCAAGGTACATCTTTCCAGTGGGTACGAATTTCGCGATCACCCCTCAAAATTTCATCCTCAGGCAGTCGTTCTCGCCCCAGAAGCTGGGGCGTGCCACGCAGGCTCAGTTTGGCGCGGCACCAGCCCATTCTTTATCAATTGTTGAAGAGTGCAAGCGACAA